TAACACAACATAATACATTATAAATGATCATGATACAGTAAGACACAACAAAACATATCATAATACAATGTAATACAACATAAAACAACGTAACACATCATAACACAATGTAACGCAACATAATACGACACACACATACAACATACCACACACCAGAATACAACGCACCACAAGGATCTCGCATCCACCTAAAACAAACCTACAGCACCTCGCATCATCATCCAGCACTCCTTGTTCCGTTTGCATCCATAAATATGCCCCGACGCGCAATTAAGGATCACCTCGTACTAAAATCAGCTGTAATTCAGCCGTGTCTCAGGCTTCCTTCAATCTCCTACACGGAAGATTTCGCAACATCCTCGGTGCCCTGTCCGCGAACAATTTATGCCCGGGAATAAAAACGCAATCGTCCGAGGGGGCGAGCGTTCGATTGGCGCTCGGCCGGGCCAATTACGCGTTAGCAATCATCGACTTCGGAGCTCTCGATTCGAAGCGCGCAATTTTATTGCGAACGTTATCATACGCAGGTATCTGAGCTTCAACGGGTGTCTTATCATAACGAATGCGTGTGTTGGTCGTGGATTAATCGATTTAACACGATTCCCCGAACCGACGGGCGGATGTGTTAACGAGCCGTGCGTCGACCGATAACATCGGACACGGTTTCTCGCCGGCGCTCACGAATTATAATTGGTCCGTAATTAATGACACCGTCGATATTGACAGGTGGACCGAGCCACGGGGCCCCCGATTCCCGCGAGGTGCGCGAATTACGCGGACCCCTGATCCCCTTTCTCAGGCTCTGCTTACTTTCGGACTTAATTACCTCGGATGTTACGGCATAATCGTCGATCGCGGACGCGGCTCGATGCGGAGATATCCCCGAATCCGACTGATCGGCGTCGTTTAAGCACCGTACTTTAAAGAATCGGCTACCTGTTCTTCAGCTTGATTGGCCTTATCTTACTTCTACAGGAAATTAAAGTTAACGCGTCGTCGAACTGCGCGGTGGACGTAATTTCACCAATGTGTGAAACTGGAATCACTGGAATTCAACCCTTTGACACCGCTGCAAACATACATTTTTTATTCAACGGTTATCTATCAAAAAATTTATAATCGAGTCTAATATCACCAGAAAAGACGGGTCTCCAAAGTTAGACTATTATATGTAATGCGATTCCTGTTCGCACATTTTGCAACGAGGTGGCGCAGAGTGTAAGTTTGATTCTTTTGGTGTGTTTATAGCGCGAGCTTTGAGGCTACTTTTCGCGTTTTTGCACTTTTCTACTACTTATCAAGATCTTTTTTTTTTCCTTACTGTCTGTTTTATTTCTTTTTCCATTACATATCTTACGCCATAGGATTTTTGACATCTTAACCATGAAACCATGAAAAACCGAAGCGGAAGACCATTCATTTTTGCACACCCTGTACAGTATGGCGTAGTATAGCCAGCCAGATTTATTTCCATACTCAAGGGGGTAGTTGTCTTCTTCTGGATGAAAAATAAGCACCTTCGGGGAATTTACCCCGGTCGAGGGTACGATAAATACGCCCAAGGTTTTCACTATTCACTTAGAATGCTTTTATATCGTAAAGTATGTTTTCTTTGTGTTCGCAGGGGAAAAGTAACGGTACCTCCGCGGTGTAACGGATGGGAAGTTTCATAAGTGATTTCAGGGGTGATTGAAGTACACGTTAGTCGTATTGTTCGTATCATAATACTTATTATTCACTAATGATACTTGTCCGTGGCGTTTTGTTCATGAAAATGCACATGTATGAGTGTGGAGTTTGATTGTTTGCGTGTGAAATGGACGGTCGAGTAGACCGATTGATACACATGGTTCGAACGTGTTTTTTTCTGGACCTTAAATATTCACAAGTAAAAATTAATTACAAAGAGAAGGACGGGAATGTCGATACGATCGTATATTTGTTTTTTTTTGTTTCTTCTTTTCTTTTTTTTTTTCATTTCGTTTCGTTGGTATCAAACCGAAGAGAAAGACGTCAAATGAACGTATGTACAACGTTACGCGAATACAATGCGTTCGGTTTTTCGATAACAGTTAAAAAACCTATTTTAATCCATATATAATATTCAACAAACACAGCCCGCAGTCATGAAACTTAATTGTTAACGAAGATCGTCTTTTGATTATAACGAGTCCCGAACGTGTTTCATGCGATTCCCACAATATACTTAAAATACGTTAACATATTCCCTACTAAATACGATTTTTTCCGAAGAGCTTAAAATACTTTGCGATGTGAGCTAACTACGATAAGAAACGTTAAAGTAAGTACGTACTTTCACGTTGCGGTTATCTCTAGATGTAGCAGCTGCTCTATGTCTAAATTACGTCGACGTTTCCAGTAGAAACGGGAGTTCACGTGAAAATTATTCACGCGGTTCGTAATACGCATTCATTTGATCGAACTTCTAAATTAAATTCTGATGTGGACGGTCCAAGATAACGAATTCAAACACGTTTGGAAAGGAAGACTTTTAAATTAAATTCAGATAATTGCACGATCGAAGATGCCTCGAACACGTTTCTAAAACACTCTGCAGTAAAAAAATAATAAATATAAAAAGAAATAGAGAAAGGAAGATTTCCAAATTAAATTCAGATAATTACACAATCATCGATGAGAAATCCAAACAGTTTCGAAACACTCTACAATAAAAAAAAAATAATAAATACAGCCCCCCTTGAGAAAGAACTAAAAAATCCGAGTACAAGTAAATGAAAAAACTGAGAAAATTGGAAACAGATCAGTCTGAAACATAGCGAGAGACAATGAACTCCCTTACCTAGAATTTCGATCTTACAAGAACGTCGATTTCGACTGCAAAGGGTGGACGCTCTACGGATCCCCTCGCGCCCGCGACGGGAACGGCACATCGATTTTACTCGCGCAACGACAACTGAATAAATGAGAACAAACATCGCGCTATCGGCTCACATCGCGGGCGAAAAACTGTCGAATAATGACGCCCGTTGAATACGGGCCACACCGAGACTTGCATGGAAAAGATTTATTCATCAAAAAAGCGCGATACACGTCTTACAATGCGCATCGACGAGGGACAACGATTACGACTATCGTATATGATGCATACTCGCCTAAAATCGATTGATATCGGTAAATGACTTAATAAATTCCGTTAATATCACAACACAATTACGATCTCCCCGGTTCACTTGATCTCGTACGCGTCGAGGTTACCCTTGCGCCTCCTGTAGACGGTGGTCGGGCCGTTCGTGGGATTCTCCTGGACGATGGACCGTTTCACGTTCGTCCGGTATCCGTCCTCGTATGCGTTCAGATACAGATTCTTTAGAAATATTTGATTATCCAGCTCCGACATCAGCAGAAATCGCTTCGAGCGGCTTTGTTGCTGAGCCTCCAGTCCGTCGAACGTGAACCGACTTCTTTTCTCCTCGTCGTAGGCCCTCGATCGCTTCGAGACCCTGCGTTTCGGCGACGATCCGACGTTCTGAAGATCGTTGACGGACAATAACCTCCTCTTCTGACGCGATGGTCCCGCGTCTTCGGACGCGTTTCGTATTCGCTTGCTGCGGTGCTTCGGCACACCTTCTTTGGCGGGAATCTCGTTGTCCAAGACAGAGGACTCGTTACCGGGCGTCGGCGTCGACGAGGTTCGATTATCGTGGGACTCGATCTCTCTCGGCGTCGGCAGCGTCGTGGTCGCGGGGCTCGTCGTCGGCGCGCTCGACGTCATCGTAGTGGTAGTAGCAGGCGTCGGCGACGACGGCACCGTCGACGCCTCTGTCATGGTCGTTTCTTCCGTCCCGTTCAATCTCTCCTCAATGATATGTTTGAAGAACGCGTACATCTCGCCCACGGTGAACATTGTGCCGTTTCTCACGGTGAACTTGTCGATCTTCATCTTCTTGATCAGCTCCTCCGTCGCGTTGCGCGCCTCAAGCATGGACAGCTTCTCCGTCACGTAACAGTTGAGGAACTCGTAGAAGCCTTTGTAGTAGTTCTTCCTGTGCTTCTTTTTCTCTTTCGACTTCTTCGCCTTGTCCAGGTGAGACGTGCCGCCGTTCTTCTTCTTCGAGTCCTTGCGGCTCTGCTTCTCGTTCCAGCGCATCGACTTGTTATAGAACCGCATGATCCTCTCGAATTCGCGCTTCAGCTTGACGAACTCCCGCTGATTCCTGATCTCGAACTCGGAGCGTCCTCTGCCCGAGCCGTTCCTGCGGGACTCGGACAGGTCCACGTGGAAGAAGTTCTTGCTCATCGCGTTCAGAAGATCGTGCATGCTGCCGTTCGTCGCGTTGCCCGACTGTCTGGCGTCGATACGCTGCAGCTTGCGATAGACGATCTTCAGGAAGTCGATCATTTTCTCCTCGGGCAGGCGCGATCGGTTCCCGTGGCCGGGATGCTTCTTCCAGGATAAGGGATCCGCGGTCGTGTTGCCCTCGTGATGGCTCACGTTGCTGTTCTTCGCCTCGGCGCGATGCTTCGCGTGATCCTTACCCTTGTTCATCTGCAGGTGGAGCAGCTTCTTGCCGATCTTACGGAAGAACTCGATGAATTTCCTGGGAAAAAAAGACGGTTCGATTGAATTTTAGAACCAGTTTGGGTCTCGAGTGAGGGATATTTGGGGAATTGGAAATCAACAGGTCTTCGAGTTGTTTGAGTAAATGCAGAGAAAAGGGAGTCTGTTGATTCTGGAAATTCCTCGAATGGATTAATAATACAGACAAATCTGTTTTAGGTAGGGACCGTATAAAGAAACGTGCAAAAAAATATTTAGAAACTTCATAAATAGTTATAACTAGACTGCGGATCCTGATGCAAAATAAAATCTTGAACCTAAATAGGAATCTATTTTATTCTGCAAATATGTGTATGCATCCACTGCGAAGGTTGGTAAATGTGTAACTAATATTAAGCCACGCACTATCCGCAATGCAATAGAAGTGAAATAGAATGTTGATTATATATCGATTCCTGAAAACGCTCTGACCGAGTTTTTTCAAATTTCTTCACTTAAATCTGTCAAATTACATCTAAAACTAACTAACTCTCTAGGTAGCACCACTATGCAAAAGATGCTTTTGTTAGAGTGCTCTGCAAACTCAAAATACGATTCAAAAAAAGTACAAAATCAATTAAAAGAGAGGCACACCTGTGCCTCTTGGAATCGACGACTTCAAACATACAATATCATACTATTTTCTTATGAAATAAGACCGTGCAAAAGCAGGTTGTATTTTGATTTCCAAGGAACCGTATCGAAAACAACCCACCGATAGCTGAGAGTGAGATCCTCGTCGTCGACAGACCTTCGACGCCTGTTCCAGCGTAGCCTAGGATGTTGTCCAGGGATGCACTTGGGCAAAGTCTTGGGCCTCCAGTAGCCACCGATGCAAGTGGCCCCGGTGGGTCCGTCGTCCAGCACGTAACCTTTATCGCAGTCGTACATGATCTGCTTGTTATTGACGACCTTCTTTACGTAGGGCCTGTAATCGTAAACGCCCATGTTGCCCACCAAGAAGACCTTCCCGTTCTCGATGAAACCAGGAAACGGGCAGAAGACCTGTATGCAATGAGGAATATCCCCGGTCCAGTTGCCGTACTGACATTCCACCGACATGGAGGTGTTGAAGGGCCCACCACCGACTAGTTTGAAGCCATCCTTGCACTTGAACACTGCCTTCATCCCGTGATCGGTCTTCGGCGCGATCGCCATACCGTTTTTCGGCGCTTTCGGCATCTGCTTGCACCTAGCCGGCGAGCAACTGGGAACTATCGACCAGGTACCGTTTTGGCACAGCACCGGTGTACTGTTCGCGGCGAATTCGTAATTCTGCACGCAGGAAACCAGCAGCCTCTCGCCGTGCTCGACGACAGTGGCGTTGTTGACGTGGTCGTTGTCGTCGCTGGCCACAGTTATGTTCCCATACTCTATTTGCGGCACCACGCACGGCGCGAGACACTGCGGCAACGGGTAACTCCATTTCCCGTCGGCCTGGCAAATGGAGGAAGTGTTTCCCTCGAGCTTCATGTGAACGTTGCAGCGGAAAATAATGCTGGCACCTAGCCCCGTGCCTGCGGGGAATGGTATTTCGGGGGATTAGTTCGGAACGCTGTGGCGAACGAAATGGTCGTCGCTCTAATTTCTACGGAGGTAGGTGACTATTCTTGTTGATATTTAAGAGAGGGCGGAGTTGAGAGGATGTAAAGGTTTGTTTACTCTTTGGAATTTCACCTACTCGAAAGTACGAGAAAGAATACCTTACCTGTCTTCCTACATTTTATTTAACTCTTTGCACTCCAAGCAATTTGTGTAGACAAATTGAGACCATTTTTCTTAGACTTCTGAGTTACGGAATGGTCACGACAAATTCTTCGCAGTTTGTTAAATTAGACGATTCTTCTTGGAAGTCTACATTTTTATTAACCAAAGGATACCACGACCGGTCAAATGACCGTTTTCATATCGAATTCTTCGTTTTCAATAGAATTCTTGTATGCTATTCGTGAATATATACAACCGTTTCATGCGTTACTCAATTTAGTTGCACGTAAAATATTTTTGCGTTGCGTTGTTGCGAGAAAAGTTCCCGGGGAGCGCAGGTGGCTTAGGAGTGCAAAGGGTTAATATATCCGAACAGCGGCTACTTGGGCGATGTTTACAAAGTCTGTGATTTATTTCCGCAAGACGTAGTTTATTTATAATGCCCGCGTTGCGCGTCCTCCGACTCACCCGACTCGATATTCTCAATCCAGCCGTTATACAGAACACCAGGTGAACCGCAATTAATTTCCTGGCAAGTGGGCATCTTTCCAGTCCATTTTTTATCAGCGCCGCAGCGCCTCGTCCCGGCACCTACCACCGTGTAACCGTAGTCGCACTCGTAATGCACGATGGAATTGTATGCATACGAGGTGTACACCGCCTTCCCTTTTACTGGATTATCCGGCTTGGGGCATTGCACCGATGTAACCTGAACAGGAAAACATTTCCCCGTCGTATCGTGTCTGGGGAAAAAGAGGCGCCAACGCGACGGTATCGCGCGGCCCGGAATTTTTATACGAAGCTTACTTGAACGCATTGCGGCGATTCTTTCGGGGTCCATGTGCCGTCCGCCAAACAGAGCTTCTCCGCTTTCCCGACTAATTCGTATCCCACCGCGCAGTGGTATGACACGCGACAGTCGTACGTGTAACACTCGCCTTGAAAAGGAATAAAAGCGACGTGGAGTTTCGGGGAATGGCGGTTATTTAGGATGAAAGCTGAAATAGTGTCCCATTACAGGTGATCTATCGTTAGATGTGATATTGCGCGTACGAGCACCGAGGATAATCTACGAGCGTGGCTTTTTGGATGGCGATACTGTGTAATATAGGGATACTGTGTAATATAGGGCCAACGAGGTCGTAGTTTACGAGTACGCAGATCGTGAAACAATTGCCTGAGCTATCCCTGAAGCTATCGTGTTAGGTAAATTATTCTTGTGACAAGTGCTAGCTTGAGATTCTTAGCTAGATGTAGATTCTCGACGGTATATCTTCTGGGTCTGTTTAGTTATTTATTTTGGAGTTTTCAATTACATCCTCGCTCATAAATATGTGAACACTTACTACTTTCCATGAATAATTAATATACACCGGTATATTAATACATTTGAGGAATTTATTACTATGCAAGTTTTGTCGCTAAATCATATCAATTTTGTAGTGTAAGGATGAGAAGTTCAGAATGAATGTTTAATATATTCAAAATATTTATGGCGAAATATTGAAAAATAAATGAATAATATTATTTCGAATATAATGAAGAAATTAATACTATCCAAGTTTGGTAAAAGAAATTTTGACATTATCTAGTTATCTTCAGGGTTTTTTTTTTATTATTACTAACGTAATGTAAGAAGGTGAGCAATATAATTGATATTAATAGATTTGCAACTTTTATCAGACATTCGTTTCTATTAAGGAAGTGTCCACATACTTCTGAGCGGGGATGTACTATCAACAATAGAAAGAAACGAACTTTAAATTAATTTTATTCCATTTACTTGTTTCTGTTCCTGTGATGTAGGAATGTTTAAATCGCGATGTCTGAATCGTTGTATTCGATGATTACGGTTCTGTTCGCGAACTAAGTTTCTGTAATACCGGGGATGATTTCGAATTAGTGAATCAAAACGTTGGGATAAACGCCCGAGAACAATAGTTTTCGAGCCAGCGTTCAGAGGTAGTTTCGCTATTTAAACTTGTTACCGCAGCCAAAGCAAATATCTATCCCTAACTTTTAACCGTTCCACGGGTTCGCGAAGTCTCGTTAAAATCAGTGGTGCGCGACCATTTACGCTCGTGGATCGAATAAAACAAAGGAACTGGCGTGGTGAACCAATTTTATTTCGATTTAACGTACTGCTAAATTAATTTTGAAACGCATACACAATTTCGAGTGTTTATTAAAGTACCTCGCAATTTATAGATTTTTTCGAGGTTGATAAAATATCCTCTGATTAATTTCGGACTTTAAATTGAAAAATATTTACAACTTTCAGAGGATGTCAATTCCATAAATATTAACCTCTATGTTTATTTAAGTAGTTTGAGTAAATTAAATAATAGTTTTGATATTATCTAATGAACTTTTCATCATAAATAGTTTTAATGGATAGCCTTATAGATGTATAGATTTATATCAGCAGGAAAGACTTTTTTAAAAAGGGAATCGAACAACTGCCTTTACGCTGGCAAAAAGCGTTAGTGTGTCTGATAAATAAATGTTGATAAAATTTCGATTACTTTTCGGTCCCCTAATATATGCATCAACATATTTATACAAAGATACACTTGGAAACTTCAAACCTACCACTTAATTTAAACAAACTCCTTAAATAAACACAAAAGGTACGAATATTTATACATCTAGAATTGATGAATATTTTTATCTCATTTCAACATTTATTATTCGAAGCATACCGCGTGTATTGGAAACACGAATCAACAAAAAGTACTTTCAACAAAAGTATACTATTACACAGAGATCTTATTTGAAAAAAAGATCTTCCCACGCATATAAAGCATCCCTCGACCATTTCACTTGCAAATTAAAAATGATTCCTAGCGTTTCTTTCTCTAACATCTTTCAAACTTTCATCCCTTTCAGAAATTCAGCAAACGTATTGGGTACGTCGCGCGCCACTGATAAAAACAAAGGAAAGGACACGAGTATTACCTAGCACAAGCATCTGGCAAACACGCTTGCCTGTTAAAAAAACAATACGTACCCGCGTGCCATCCGTTAGGGATGTCCGCCGGAGGTCCGCAACTCTGCGGCTCGCAGGTGATGTCCGGTCCGAACCAGCTCGCTGCACCCTCCATCATCAGGCATTTGGCTTTCCTAACACCGGCGGTCACGTATCCGTGATTGCAGAAGTATTGAATGACGCTGTCCAGGTCGAAGGTCGTCTGCTCGCTGAGAGCGTTGTGTCGCGCGTTTTTCATTTTCGGCGGCTGAGAGCAAAAGGACGTCGCGTCCTTCTTGCACGAGGGCTGCGTGCCGGTCCAGTGGCCGTCGGCCCTGCACGTTCTCTCGGTGAGGCCCACGGTATAGTAATCGGGATCGCAGGTGTAACGTGCCCGATGCCCGAAGAATCTCCCGGTGACCATCAGCACACCGTGAGATATCTCGTTGAGCACGGGGCATTCCCTCTCGGGCTTGATGCAGGACATGCCGCACGCACCGTCGCATCTGCATTTCTTCTTCTTGCTCTTGCAGTCCTCGTCGGTGGAGCACTTCCTCAGACACTTCTGCCCGAGGAGATCCGCTTGTTTTTCATCGCGCGGGCACATCGCCGACGGTGAGTTCCTCGGGTTCTTGTAGATGCGTCCGTCGTCGTCAACCTCCGGCTTGGGCTCGTAGGACGGATCGTCTTCGTCTTCGTCCTCGTCGTCCTCGTCGTCCCACTCATCTTCATCTTCGTCGTCGTCGTCCACCGCTGCCTGTTGCCTCAGCTTCGACTCGGACGAGAGGAACAGGGTGCACAGGAACAGCAACAGCAGTACCGCACTCGGTCTCATTTCTCAAGAAAGTCTCGTAAGTCACACTCGCGAATGACACGTAACACACCACGCGGATACAACACGGAGCGTTTACATGACCGACGTGCACATCGCGTCTGATCGACTGGGTCGGTTTAAAGCCGCGAGTCGCGTCGCCCCGGTGGTGGGCAACGATGGTCCATCGAAGTCCTCCGTAACGGAAGCGCCGCTCAAAGTACCAGTCTCATCCCGAGGCTCCGTCGAGGACGACGTCGTTTCTCTCGCGACCGTGACTATTAATCGAGTCTGCCTCTTCGGCGTCCAGGAGGATTAGGACGGCGTCTCTCTCTCCGTCTAGGTTCGCCGCCTCTCTGTTCCCCTAACTCCGTGGGGATTTTTTTCTTTATTGTGCGGACTGCGGCCCCGTGCTGCCGGGGGCGCATCTCTGCACGCGCACTCGGCCTGTTCAATACGTCTCCTCACTCGTCCAGCTTCCAGCAGATGGCGAGGGATAGGGGAAAAGCTCCGAGTTGCGCAGAAATCGCGTGCGAGACAGAACCCTCGAGTCCGCCCGCCTGTGCACGCCGCCACCGCGGGGGCGGTTTTCGATTGGGTTCTCGCGCAGTGACGCTCCGAAACTCGATACAATAGCACCGGTGTTTGGGGAAACGTTGAAAAGACCGGCGCGGATCCGCTGTCTCCTCTCCTCGAGTTTATATTAAATTCGACGAGAGCGGGGAACGGGATATTTCAGCCGGCTCGAGATATACTCGCTGGGAAATTGCTGGGAAGTGCTTCCTGCGAGGCAATGCGGGGGAGGAAAGTTTTATCTCGGGCGGTGGCGGTGTCTCTCGAGTAGGCGTGCTGGTGTATTCTTCTAAAGTCAATTTTAGTTGGTCGCTTTGGGGGTGGGGAGTGGTCCAAGTCAATATGGAGATGTAGGATGGTTAGGGTGACTATCAGGGTTTGCATGGTTATTCAGTAATGTGCGTACAATCTTCTCTTTAAAACGGGAAGAATATTAATTTTGCATCACGCAAACACGCGTTTGCGCTTGTATAATCTATTTAAGGGGTCAGAAAGTAACGTCCAAGACAGGGGATCTTTGTGCGAAAGAAAAATTCTTCGCAAACGTATTTACAAAAATTGAACGAAAACAGGAATTCATTTTAATCAACTTCACTTTCAATATTTTCTTGTCGTTTCAAACTTCTTAGAAATGCATAGAAATCCGCAGTTTAGTAATGTCGTTACCTTTATTATCGCCCTCGTTACCGTCAGTATTTTGCCATCTGGTGTGCAAATTTTCAATGCCAGATCGATAAAAATGACCTGATGAGTGATAAACAAGTATCGAAAATTGCCATAACCTAATGTTTCAGTTAATGAAACCCAGGACGATGTAGAATATTGCAAAAGCTTTGCTCGTCGTGTTCAGTCCTGGCAGTATTCGATTCTTTTTTAACAGTAAAATATACTCCTTTAAAGTTTATCGAGTTTATTGGAGTTTATTTAGATTCTTTCAATGTCACATATCAAGAAAATTTCCGGTTACTGATGTGTTAAAAATAACAAATCAGGGTCGCGTTTCTTTGAATTTAATGTTATGTTTCACCACGAGTCCCTGAATTATCGGCCCCAGTTCTCATAGAAAGTCTCTCTTCACCTCGCTCTTCTAATTCCAGCAGCAAAGATCTCTCGTCAAGAATCAGTTCCCTCCCAATCTCCAATCATTTTTTTCCCCATCTACACCTCCTCTTCTTGCCTCCTCAATCACCTACATTTCCATGCAACCAGCGCACCCTTTCGCAACGCCGAAAAACCAGTCGGCGTGTTCGCCCACCGCCAGAAACTGTACCGCTCCCGTTAACGCGTCAAGTCACGAAAGGAAGCACCTGCAGCCACTTTCTAATCCGTTAACACGTTATTCGCCGGGCCAGACCGATCCGCCGGGCCACTTACGCCTAACAATCGTTGCAACCGTGGATCGAGCCGAACCCAACCCGATCCTCGCGTGACGAGAAGATCGCTAGCTTTCTATTTACTCGGCGTGGCGTCAGATCTGCATGATAAAGCAGCAATCGGCGCAGACCCTACGTGCGCGACGAGCAGCTGAAAAAAATGCTGGCGATAGCGAGGCGTGGGTGGTAGTAGACGGATCAATTTTCAGCGAACAGACCACGATCTACGGAGCTTGTTAACCACGGCGCGGGGTAATCCCCTGGTTCCTAAGTTAGCTGCGTCGTTAGAGTAAGCCCGTGTCGGGCATTGTCTTCGTAACGATGGTAATCAATCGGTACGGTTCGATGCTCCGCGAACGCTGTAGGTGATCCTCGGCCCAATCTCGGGTATCGGCTTCATCGTTCTCGCCGTGTGTCTCCCGGATGTCTTCATTTGTCTTATTCAAATGGGACGCCTCGAGGACGGCCTTCGAGCGTCCGAGCTGCCAGCTCTCTCGACGCGGTTCGTGGATCGCGAACGGAGAATCCCTTTACTTGCTGTATCAGAACAGAATTGCGCCGAGTGTTCCGAGGGATAATGCCATTTATGGTTGTTACTGGTATATAGTAAACGAGGAATCCATGGGGTTGGCATCAAAGGAACGGAATGCAACTCGAGGAATGGTATTGATACTGCCTGCGGTTGCTTTGCTTAGTGTCCGGGATCAAGTTCAAAGGAACGGGGGAGGAACACTCCAATAATCTCCGGGTAATGATTCGTACCGTGGAATAGGGTTTGGTCGCAAACTGCATCCTCGCTGAACCTTGCTTCGTCTTCAGGCGTGACGTGCGAGACGTTAGATGGAAATTAGCGAAATCGATCCGGGGGTGTTTCAACAGTCACGCTCTGGTAGTTTGATAGGAAAATGGTAGATTCGTTAATAGAAATCAGTAGATGAATTCGAAGAAGGAAATGCATGACGACGAGTTCACCAAAATGGGATTCAGGCTTTGTTATGTCTTTCAACAAGAGTTTACCAAAATTAGATTCGGACTTGATCACACTTCTCAACAAGAGTTCACCAAAACTTGATTCAGACACTTC